GGGGGGGGGGGGGGGGGGGGGGGGGGGGGGGGGGGGGGGGGGGGGGGGGGGAGAACCATTAAAACTGGAATGGAATGCACGCCGTTCCAAAGGCCATTCCACTACAACTCGAATCGAAATGCCAATTGCATACCCCATTTCATTCCAAATAAATAGTTCACTAATTTGGGGTATGCAACGGCCTCCATTCCAATTCGAAAGGGGTGGCCATTCCATTCCATTCCATTCTAATTTACAATTTCCAATTCAAAAATTGAGATGGAATAGTGATCATTTTCAAATTCGAATTTGGAATGGCAATTTCAATTCGAACTGGAATTTTGCCAAAATGGCCGGTCCAATTCGAGTGATCACTTACTGTGATTCGAATTGGTATGGAATGCGGTTCACCAAAAAATATGCATTTCTGCTTGCCTGCCTCTTCCGTTTTCATTCCATTCCATTCGTGTTCATTTCTTCTTTTCTTTCAGGAAATCCACAGCAACATAAGAAACAATCATCATCATCAGCAGCAGCCGCAGCATCGTCATCAGCATCACCATCACCATCTCCATCACCATCATCTCATCATCATTTCATCACCGTCATCTCATAATTACCATCATCATCATCATCATCATCATCATCATCATCATCATCATCATCATCGCATAATCATCATCATCATCATCATCATCATCATCATCATCATCTCAGACTTCTCATCAATCATCATCATCATCATCATCTCGTAATCATCATCATCATCATCATCTACGTCAGCAGCAAAACACATATAAGCCATCGCTAGGCTTCCCCCGATGGTTCGCTCACCGACATTACCTGAGTGTGTGTGAGCATCAGGACATGTCATCATCATCAAAGTCTCCCTCACCGGGCGTACTCACCGCACCGAACCATCCTGAATGTATTTGACCTTATGTACGCCTACATTCAGCCCATGCTTTTGGTTCTATTGCTTGTATGAATTCAAGCATTAGCAAAATCACCGCTACCACACAAGTGTAGGCACCGTTCCATATGTCATTCTTCGAGGCGACAAGCAATCATCAGAGACGACATGTTCATTTCCAGAAAAGGAAAACCGAAAAACTGACGCGTGTACAAAACGACAATGGCAATCAAGGACGACCAAAAAAAAAATATTTGAATTCCAAAAAAGAAAAAAAAAGAAAAAAAAATTGAATTCCTTCTTGCCTTCCAGCAAAACCCGACAAACCCAGCCCCTTCCCCAAAACCAACAACAACCCTTGAAAAATAGACCCAACCCTCCCTCCTTTCCCCCCCCTTCCTCCCTCCACCCCAACACAATCCCCTCCCCTTCCTCACCTTGATGCAGTCGCTTTCGCTCAGACACCGGACAAGCTCCACCGCGATCCCTTTGCACGACTTCGACATGGTGACCTTTTGGCACTAACCTTACAAGCGAAGTAATATCCCGGGTCCTCCTCCTCCCTCCTGCTCCTCCTCCTCCTTCTCCCTCCTACTCCTCCGCCGCCGCCTCCTCCTCCTCCTCCTCCTCCTCCTCCTCCCTCCCGTTCGTTTTCCTTTGCGTTCAACGACGCAATCGAGGACCTCGTCCTCCCTCCGCCTTCTCCCTTCTCCTTCTTCTCCTTCTCCCTCCTCCTCCCTCCCTTCTCCGTCTCCCTCCTCCTCCCTGCTCCTCCTCTCTTCCTCTCCGTCCTCCTCCTCCTCCCTGATTTCCGCTTTCCTCTTTTCTCGGACCGGCCTTCCTTTTCGCCGCGCCCTCCTCTGAGCGGCCAAGTTCGATCGTCACTCACGCGAAAATCAACCGCAGCCACTCACGCGAAAATCAACCGCAGCCACTCACGCGACAGCGAATTGCTTGACCCGGCCTCCGTAGAGGGGCTTCGTTGAAGAACAGTGCACACGTGTTCACGTGAAAGGCGGTCAGAGTCAAACTTCGCCCCTTCTTTCAGTCTCAAATCTCACACCACCTTCGTGGCCTTCTATGACCTTTTGCTCGTTCTTTTTTCTTTCCTTCTTCTTCGGCTTGTGCTCCACAGACTTAGGGCATACGCACACTGCGATTGGGAAGGGCCGATTTGAGGTTTTGGGCATGGTTCGGTTCGCACTGCTGTACCGTTTCACATGGGACAAGGCCCTGGCCGTCTAAGAGCAATGGCGATCCGGTGCTTCGCTGGTCACATGGGGCCATCCACAAATTGCACAAGAACGTTGGTGGCGTTAGTGGACAAGTGCTGAATTGCATTCTCACTCAAGACAACAATCTGTCCGTCTGCACCTATCCAAGAATAGAACACGCGACCTCCACGTTAAGAGGTAAACACTCAACCAAACGGCTAAGTTGACTGGGGTGAAAGCTAAGCCCCAAGATGAGTACTTAACCCCACCCCAGCACGGGTACTCGTTTTCCCCCCGCGACCCGATGTACCCAGTCACACACGCGCACCCAACCAGGGTGTGTAGACGTAGCCCCCATACGATGTACCCCCGCGACCCGGTGTACCCAGTCACACACGTGCACCCAACCACGGTGTGTAGACGTAGCCACCATACAATGTACGACCTCACTGCTGGTTGCCACGCAGGTAAGAATTGCATTCTCACTCCAAACAACAATCTGTCCGTCCACACCGATCCAAGGATCGAACACGCGCCCCCCCTTTTAAGAGGTAAACACTCAACCAAACGGCTAAGTGGACTGGGGTGAAAGTTAAGCCCCAAGATGAGTACTTAACCCCACTCCAGCACGGGTACTCGTTTTTCCCCCACGACCCGGTGTACCCAGTCACACACCCACACCCAACCAGGGTGTGTAGACGTAGCCACCATACAATGTACGACCTCACTGCTGGTTGCCACGCAGGTAAGAATTGCATTCTCACTCCAGACAACAATTTGTCCGTCCGCACCGATCCAAGGATCGAACACGCGACCTCCACGTTAAGAGGTAAACACTCAACCAAACGGCTAAGTGGACTGGGGTGAAAGTTGAGCCCCAAGATGAGTACTTAACCCCACCCCAGCACGGGTACTCGTTTTTCCCCCGCGACCCGGTGTACCCAGTCACACACACGCACCCAACCACGGTGTGTAGACGTAGCCACCATACAATGTACGGCCTCACTACTGGTTGCCACGCAGGTAAGAATTGCATTCTCACTCCAGACAACAATCTGTCCGTCCGCACCGATTCAAGGATCGAACACGCGACCTCCACGTTAGAGGTAAGCACTCAACCAAGCGGGTAAGTGGACTGGGGTGAAAGTTAAGGTGATAAGAGCTCTAGCCGATACCCGTTAAACATCCCTATTCCATCCCCTCTTCATCCTTGCGAAGAATTATTTAATGCCCTTTGCCTCCTACTTCAAAATAAATCCCCCAAACCCCTGCAAGATGCTATACTTGACCATCCCATGGGGACCCATGTTCAAAACTCTGACAACCCCTGAAACAGACAACCCGAACAATCATGCCTCCATCATCGAAAGAGAGGACCTCATTCATCTTCCCAAACTTCGTCCTCGTAAAGAAATTCAGAGGACCGCTTCTCATCAGGGGGCAAGCATCATCCTCAACCTGAAATTCCTTTCCCCCACAAGAATTTCAGTCTTCGTCCTCAAGAGTGTGAAACAACACTACCCAACGCAAATCGCGCCAAAGCTCACCCTCATCAGCCGGTACCCGTTGGACAGCCTAAACTATCCAACGCTAATCGCATTTGATAGAAGTTCCCCCTAGCCGGTACCCGTTAAGCAACCATATTCCATCCCCCCTTCATCATTGCAAAAAATCATTTGATGCCCATTCCCCCTATTTCAAAACAAATCCCCCAAAAACCTACAAGATGCTTCACTTGACCCTCCCATGAGGCCCTTGTTCGAAACTCTGACAAAACTCTAATGAAAAAAATAGGACAAATTTTGAAAGACAACATATCTCGACTCAAAAAACCATAGGAATTCAATTGCGAGAAAAAAATAGATATATGCAATTAAGAAAAAAAAACGGATTTTGGCTTAGATATCCAGAAATAATTTTCAAAGGAGATTCTCGAGCCTCCGCTATGATTTCGGTTTCATCCTCGAACCTAAACCGCCACGCGCCTTCTTCTAAAGAGAGATCGTAAACCATCCCCCCCCAGGGCAGAAAGCAATTGGCCCAAGCCTCTACTTACCAAAGCCTTACAGGGCTCGTTGCGACACAACAACGTTGAACCTGCCAATGATCTGTCACAGGAGATCCGATTTGAGGGAAAACGAAAGGCACTAGCAACAACCACAAGCAAAACAATGGAAAAAAAAAAGGAACAAGACACCCCAAAGGGAGAAGATAAAGAGAGGAACAATAAAGGGAAGAAACTAACATCTAACCTCTTCCTCCTTCCTTCTCTTTGTGCCACACCTGTCTTCCTTTAACTTGCACCCTCCTCCTCTCTTCATCCACTCATGACGTCAGGCAACTAATTTTGTTGCTGATTCAAGACGCCCTCAGTTTCCGTGCCCCCTCTTGCTATCTCGTCTTCTCCACCCCATCACGTGAACCACCACTCCAATCATAGTTGGCACCATCAACTCTACAACCCACGCGATTTGAAAAAGGTGATCAGCTCCTCGCTATCCCCAAATAGACAAGCTTACCAATCCTTTCCCTTCACACCATAAGCGTCCGCTCCATCCTCACATAGCATGCTTCTTGCCGCCATGGAACCATTCACGTCGTACGTAGAGCCTGGCAGCCCACCACTCTCAACCCGATAAGTATGCCAGTACCGGGGTGCAGTGCTCCCAGTAGCGTTGTGCCTAACCCCGCAATAGTGCAGGTCAACAAGACACGACGGAAGAAAGAGGAGAAGAAAAAGGACAAGGAACCAGAGTTGTGGACCACGATAGACATGAAAACCGAATGCGACTTCGTCCGTCATCGAATAAACAATTGAAAAGACATAATGGCGAACGTATGACGAGCGACCCTACCGGTTTCAGCTGGTCGTTGTGACCAACATCATCAAGGGTTTTGGCTTAGTTGGTAACACAGTCTATCTATTTATCATAGGGAAAGGGGGCTCACGAGTCGTAGTTATCTATGTAGAAAGGATCCTAGTCAGCGAAGTCATCAAAAGGACACACGGGACAGGGACTAAAAACATTAAAAGGCACTAAAAAACACTAAGAAATATTGTCCGACCAAGTTTACCTATTCATGTCTCTGGTAGTCCTTTAGAAAATAATTGTTGCCAGCTATACTTTAAAAAGTAACTGTCACGCACCCTTCTTCACCACTTCTCAGTCGCGCTCGTAACCCAAACAAACTGAGTCTGCCACCGTTGTAACTACACTATGACAAGAGGCAATCTCCTGCCCCACTTTTTATCAGTTTTTGAAGTTTTTTTAAAAAAAACAAAAAATGAAAAATTCAAAAAACATCCATTTTTTTTTTTGAACTTGTATTACCGTAGAGAGACCCTAAGAATGAACCTTATCGTTCCCCATGCATAAACGACCTTGCCAGCCATTCAAAACTGGTAACCCATAGTCCTGCAGACTTCTTAGAGAAGCTAATTAGTGGATTGTCAAAGAGATTATCGGGGTATCCTCTTCGCCACAACTTAACCTTCAAAGAAAACAAGAAGAAGATCTTTGTTCCTTGAATAGAGGTAAAAATTTGAGCACAATGAAGAAATGACCCAATCACGACCATTTTTTGTTGTCTGCCAGAATAAGAGTCAAAGTCTTGAATACTCTGGAAAATCAATCGAGGGTTGTTCCATCCCTACTGGTTCTTCTACGTCACAAAGCAGGCAGTACCATTCATTCTCTCCAAGATTCTAATAATGCAACCTAAGAATTCCGAACAAGGACCATCACTGGTCTTCTCCAGAGTGAGTTTCTCATCATAACAGTTCTGGAAACACTGAATCAATTGTCGTCCCCTCTCATTTGACTTTTCTCATCTCTTCTTTCATAGAACAAAAACAGAGACATCATCGACAAGTCTAAATTCATATAAAAACTTTCTATCATTTCTAAATGAAGCAAGATACTTGTATTCATAAAAAGCACACAGCAAGCAGGCCAGAGACGGACTGGATGATTTACCCATCGGTATTCCAACCGCTTGCTGAAGAATCATCCCCGAAACACATGTACGTATTCATAAACTCAAAGGAAATGAAAAACAAAATTTGCTCGACAGATAGAAGTAGCCAACCCTCTTCTCATCGATCGTTGACAAGGCGTACCCCTTTTCCTGAACTTTGCACAACCACAACTCGGTAACCTTCCCCTGTCCAGTAGTCTATCACCCACTCGAGGATACGTAAAATAGAACCGTGTCGAAGGTTGGATAACATCGCCCTCACATAAAAAAAGGCTCCAATCAGGTACTCATCTTTCTTCAGAGCTAAATTCATACCGCTAATCCCTTTTGACTGCTTTCGAAACTCTTTGTCCACCTGTTATAGAGCATTCGAAAAAGGATGGGCAGACGGAGCTCCATCTGTTGACGTCTTTGTGTTTGGGTATGAAATACGCTCTTCCCAGATGACCGCGAACATTCCATTTCCCTACTCTTTCTAAGTTCAAGCGACCATATTCGATTCTACATTCACGTAATATTTCCTCTTTAGATCTATCACACCTGAGAAAGGCGGAGTTATCCAAAAATAGCTTCCTTAATCGAAATTTATAAAAGGATGAACAACAAACACACATATCCCCTGCATTGTGATCAACGAAGCAACAAACCAAGCCTTTCAGTCGTCGCTTTTAAGTGACACTTTCATCAGAGTTACAAGAAGAATCGAATAC